AAATATCTTTTCCAAATGAATTTTATGATCTTCACTGGTTTTTGAGAATATAATAATATCATCCATATAGACAAGGGCGAACTTGAAAAGTACTTCATAAAAGACATTGTTCATTAATTGTTAAAATGTTGTAGGAGCATTCATCAAATCGAAAGGTATTACTGTGAACTCATAAGTTCCAAATCTAGTACAGAAGGCAATTTTTTCTTGATTTGCAGGGTCCATTGTTACTTGTCAAAATCCTGAAGTCAAGTCGAGGGTTGAGAAATAAGTACAGTTGACCAAAGCATCCAACATATCAGAAATTTTTGGAAGGGGATAAACGTCAGGTTTTGTAACCTTATTCAATTTACGATAGTCTACTACCAGTCGTAATTTTCCATTTGCCTTTCTTACAACTAAAGCAGGAGAAGTCCAAGGACTTTTGGAGGGAACTATTAATCCTTGATTTTTCATGTGATCTATTTCTTCCTTTAAGAATTGACTATGACAGGGTGATAAACTATAAGGGTATTGTCTAATCGGTTGAGTTAATTGGGTATCAATATGATGTTGAATTTCACTTGTTCGTCCTAGTTCAGTAATATCTCTGGCAATTATTTGAGGATATAATTCTAATAATTGTTCAACATCATTTTTATGTTCATTAAAAGCTAATCTTTCAGATCCTCCCATGACCAAATTAGCTTGTACGGATCGGATATCTTGAATGGGAATTACTTGTAAGGTACACCATCTGTTATAATCCTCTTCACATTGTTTACATTCATCTTCTTTTGTAATTAATTTTATATTATACCAACAGGATTTATCTGGTCCTTTAAACTAATGTTTATAGACGTGTCGATATTTTTGGTCTTTCAACCAAGGATTAAATTTTTCATTCATAAATTGATATTCCTTCTAGGAGAAGGTATCATGATCAATCTCTATTCCCCAAAGGTCAAAGTGGTAATAATGATTGTCTGGACTTTCATCTTCAGTTACAATTAAACTTAAGGCATTAAGTCCTAAGTCATCCTCTCCATCAGAAGAGTCATCATCATCATTATCATCTGATTCTTCTTCCTCTTCCTCTTCTATTTAAGTAGGCACATTGCCAGAAGAGTTTTTGCAATCAATTACTGTAGTTCATTTATGGTTATTTATAGTTAATCTTGGAGGGCTGTACTCAATTTTTGCATGAGCCTTTTGTAACCAGTCATTTCCTAATACCATAGTATAAGCACAAGTATCAATGACTTCTATATCAGTGGAGATAATAATATCTCCTAAATGTACAGGGATATCGTTTATAATTCCCAAGCTTCCTTTGGGATCTTCATGTATGCCAGTAATAGTTCGGGTGGAGAGTCTATCAGGTTGTCAGTTAATATGGTCAGCAAAAGCCTTTGAAATTATACTGATAGAAGATCCACTATCAATAATTATGTCTATAGTCCAAGAGGACACTTGACCTTTGCACATCATAGGGGTATGAGAAGATGCTACTCCTATAATCATGTCTTTATCTTTTCCTTTGTCCTTTCCTTTCTTGACTGATCGTCTTTTAGGAGTTAAGGCTTTCTTTAACTCTTTTCTATATTGAGGTAGATTTAATAGTTGCGCCACAGTTATATTTGTCTTTAGATGTATTAAGTCAGAAACAATTGAGTACGGCATTGTTTCTCTTTCAATTTGAGGTTTCTGCGAAAAAAATACTCTTTTCTTTTTACTTTTCTTTTCAGGAGGATTCCTAGTTATTTTAGCTTCTTCCCTTTTATTGTTTTGAACTGGTGGTATGAATACACCTGTTACTTCTCTTTCAGTGGGAGTTCTTAATGGATGCGAGGTAGACTGTTGCGGTGGTAACTGATTCTGCGGGATAGTATTTTGGTTCTGTTGCTGGAGTTGATTTTGATATTGCTGTTGTTGCTGCTGTTGTTGTAACCATCTCTTTTCTTCTTCAGATATAAATGAAGGATTTGAATTATTAAACGCACTCCCACCTTCTAAGGATGCATATTCTTGTTTAAATGCTGTACAGGATATACTTGGGCTTGTGGCATTTGTTGTGGAATATTTCCAGTAGTTACAAATACATTTCCTCCTGTATTATTCTGTTGTTGAGGAACATTATTATTTTGGGGAGCCATTTGTTGTTGAGGCGGTAGTTGATACTGCAGTATCTGGAATACTTGAGATTGTTGCTGTTGCACGTGCGGCTGATTCACCATTGGTTACAAGGGAATTTGTTGAGCAAATGCTTGCACTGCTGGTTGCGGAGGAAGTTTCCCATATTATTTACTGGTAACTGTTGATTTGTAGGACAATTCCTAGCAATGTGTCCTGGTTGTCTACATTTGTAACAGGTTGCGGGATCTCTAGGTTTTCTAGGTCTCTGTGAATTCATGTTTTGATAACCATTATATTGTTAACATTATTTTGAGGCACGTTCTGATTTAAATTAAAAGTTTCCCAAGGCTTGTAATATAGCTATTACAGAGTCATTTGTAATTGCATTTTGACTTGGTGGTACTTGCGGTTGCTGATTAATATTATTATTTGGTTAGTACGAATTCCTTTGGGGAATAATAGTACTTTGATTATAAAATCCTACAAGGGTTTCAGGATATAATCTTCCATGGTTTTCCATTTGACTTGCAGCTTCAATTACTTGCTCAAAGGTTGCGTTAGGTTGGAAAGTTAGTTGGGATGCAACTTGCGTGGCGATTTCTCTTCTTAATCCCTTAGTAAAATAAAAAACTTTCTCAGATTCTTACATATTCCCAACTGCATCTGCTTTCTTTATTAATTTTCTAATGGTTTGTGCATATTGATGAACGGTTTCGTGAGGTTGTTGTAATTTATTATTTAATTCCATTCTCTATTGTAATAATTTATCAGGATTTCTAAAGCAGGTTAAAAATGCTTGGGTAAAGTTTCTGTTGTTTACATTTTGCCAAGATTGAAAGGAGATAGCAACATTGCTATCTACTTCATCAAACCATGTTCGGGCCTCATTCATAAGATACCCATTTACAGAATTTAGCTTATCAGCATTTTCATATCTATTTATATCAGCACATCGGTTAAATTCCTCAAGCCATTCAACAGGGTCTTGATTTCCTCCTGCAAATGTAGGCAAGGGAATTATATTTCGGAGGTTTTGTTGCTCTACTATTCGATTTAGATAGTTGAAAAGTTGATTCATATTATTTTGATTATTCATAATGTTTGGTTCTTCTAGATTATCTTCAGAATCTTCAGTATCAGTAGGAGCAGCTAAGTTTTGGAGGTTATTTAATTGATTTAAGTTTACTGTAAATCTTTGGGTATAATCAAGACAATTTGTAAGGAGGTTTATCAATATATCCCTTTGTTCTCGATTTCGAAAGCGAAGGGTTTTTAACAAATTATCTATACGAGGTTCTATCCTATTTGGATCTGTTTCTGCTAACAATTGTTGAAAACAATTTACGGAAATTTGGGTATGAGAAACTAGGGAAGTATTTAATCTAAACCAATTTCTAAAGGTTAAAAATCTAGCACTAAGAAAAGCAGCGGATGGGTAACAAAGGGTACAAGAAAGGTCACGAAATAAATGAAAATTATTTCTATGTTCTGCTGGTATTTGATCAGGAGCGGTATGGAATATATCGTGAAATTGATTTATCTGATTTTGAATTAACCAGTCAAACATATATCTTGGTTTTAGCTAACCTCACAGGAGGCACCAGTTTGTTATGCGCAATCTGTCAATGTAATTAGAAAGTATTGTTTATTTACTAAGACTTTAGGAATTTCTATTCAAGTTTATAGGTTTGTAATTTCAAGGGATTCTCAATTTATTTAATAATTTTGATACATGAGTTCTTTGTTAGCAATGTGGAGGTTTATCGCATCAAGTTAGTTTGTGACTTAGCTCAGTGCAAGGAATAGTATAACATCAAATAATAACAAACAGATAAGATAAAAATATACAGTTTATTAATAAAATAACGTGAGACTCAAATTAAATGCACAATTTAATTACTTTCGTCTCAAACAAAAATAAAAGAAAATAAGATATAAAATAAAAGAAAAATAAAAGGAGAACTAAACTAATTATTGTTATCTCTGACTTGAACTGTTCTCAACCCCCTTCCTCAAGGCGAGAAAGGTCCTATATTTATAATAATTTCTGGCAGCTGCGCCACGATTACTTCGCGTAATCAATTCCTTCTAAATTATTCATTCGTGACAGGAGATGATTACCAGAGGTGAATATCTGGAGGTGATTATCTCAGGTAATCATCAGGGATATTCATCTC